AGCGAATGACGCCGCCGAGGCACGAAGACCCGCCATGATGCTGTCGATGATGACTCGGTCACTCCGCTTGCTAAGTGGTCTCCAAAGCTGCAAGAAGCCACACATTTTGTAGATCACATCAGTCACACGGGACGGAATCACTCGTTCGATGACTAATTTATTATGGGTACACCAAAGGGACCAGGCAAGAGTGCCGAGCGCGACCCAAATAGGGGCGCGCCTAGACCCGGGGAGCCGGAGGGTCTCCCGAACAAATCCGGGAGGTTGTCATGGCACCATGAGCCTCCGACTACCTCCCGAAAGCAGCTCCATAAAAACTGCGCCGTTGGGCACCGGAAGAAGATGTGGTTGCAGTCTTCCGGAACCAGACAAATGGGGCAAAGCCCATCCCCGGGTCCATTACGCTTACGGACCTCAGTGCCCGAGGGGAGGCGTCCTCTAACCCATTGCCATAAGAATATGCGGATCTTAAGGGGGAGTTTGATCTCCCAGAGCACCGTGAGCTCTACTGGACCAGGCGTAGGTACAATAGCCTGGTATAGAGATCTAGTCGAAAATCTACCGCTTGGCTCAAGGTGCCAGGAGAGCGAATCCGGTTCCAGAGAGGGAGGATGAAGGGCAATGCATTCCAGTAACTCATCCCATTGCACAAGTTCGGCCGCCCCGAAGGTGCGACGAAAGGCAATCGCGCCTAGGTTCTCTAATGCCTCGGCCACAGAGATCTATGGGCGAACACAGATAGAAAATAATGCGAAAAAACGCTCCGCAAGGGGACGGGGTCCCGCCCATCGGTCTAGCCAAAAGAGGGTGGCAGACCCAGAGCCTATCTGGATGGAGGTCCCAATGCGTAGGACCGGGAGTAGAGAGATCACCGATTGCCAGAATTGGGAACCTCCAGACCTAGAGGCAAAAGCGAGTGGTTGCCCACGAAGGTACTTCCTACGGATAATCTGCAGCCACAGGCCCCCCTCCTCCGTCTGGATCCGCCACAGCCATTTGGACAGGAGGGCAATGTTCATACGCTTGGAAGAGATGACTCCCAAACCTCCCTGGTCCTTAGGTTTGCAGATCTCAGACCATTTGACCATATGGTACTTCTGCTTATTGTTCTCTCCCGCCCAAAAGAAGCGGGAAAGAAGTTTGGTAATTTCCTGATGAAGGGATTCATGAAGGCTATAGAATCCCATTATATACATCAAGAGGCTAATAAGGGAGGAGTTCATTAGAATCACTCTAGCAGCCTTAGAAAGCCACCTCCCTTGCTAGGGCTCCATTCTAGGTTGGAGCTTGGCGACTATTGGGCGGAAATCCTTTTCCAGGAGACGTGTATCGCTAAGGGGCACGCCCAGATAAGTCGTAGGGAAGGAACCCAGGCGGCAGTTAAGACGGTTAGGCATCCGCTGGGCCTCCCCTTGGGAGTATCCCATGACCATTACCTCGCTCTTGGCAAAGTTTATCTTGAGGCCCGACATCTCCTGGAAACAGAGGAGGAGGAATTTAAGATTCTGGATATCCTCATCCGATCCCTCGACCATCATAATGGTGTCGTCCGCGTACTGGAGGTGGGTTAGACCCCAAGGAGTCACCAGATGAGGGCAAATCCCGCTAATGTGACCCGCACACTTGGCCAAGTCTAGAATCGTGGCGAGCACATCAACCACAAGGTTGAAAAGAAATGGGGAGATCGGATCGCCCTGTCGGACCCCTTGGCCAGTCAAGAAGTATGGGCCAACCTCCCGATTGATGTTAACCGCCGTCCGGCCACTCATAACTAATTGCATGACCCGTGCAACCCAGTGGGGGTCAAAGCCACGCTTCAGCAACACTTCCCGAAGGAAGGACTAGTGCATCGTATCATAGGCTTTATGGAAGTCGATCTTGAAGAAGACTGCACGAAGGTGTTTGCTCTTAACCTCATGGATGATCTCATGAAGGACAAGGATCCCATCTAAGATAAATCTCCCTTTCGTGAAGGCCGACTGGTTCGGATGATGAATCCGGGGAGCGACAAGGGCCGCCCTAGAGGCGTACCCTTTAGCGAGGATCCGAAAGATCACATTAAGGACTGTGATAGGACGGAATTGTCTAATGTCCGCCGCTCCCGGCACCTTGGGGATCAAGGAGATAATCCCGTAGTTAAGTCGGGACATATCTAAAGTACCCTTAGCGAACTCGCTAAACAGGTCAAGGATGATATCCTTGACTATCGGCCAGAAGGCCTGGAAAAAGCGAATCGGCAGGCCATCGGGGCCAGGGGCCGACGTCAGGTTCATGGCCTTAACAAGCGTCTCCACTTCCGCAACATCAAAGGGGGCGAGTAGAATCGCATTTTCGGCGGCGGACACCTGTTGGTCCCGTGACCAGAAATGGTCGGCTAGGGCCACCCCATTCCGCTGCCGACCCTGAAATAGAGACTTGTAAAAGTCGTCAACTAGCAGGCGAATATCCTGAGGATCCTGAAACAACTGACCACCCTCCCAGAGGAGGGGGATGGAGCAACGTCGCCTCCGGCCATTGGCGATGGCCTGAAAGTATGCAGTGTTGGCATCCCCAAAAAGCACCCAGTTAATGGATCCGCGCTGGCGCCAGAATTCCTCTTCTTTGGAGTATATCTCCATGAGGGAGTCCTCCAAGCTATATCTATGCATCCATTCCTCCGCGGAGATCCCTGTGATGTCAGCGCGAAGGTCAAGGGTCCGGATCTCCTCAAGGAGGGACGCCTTCTGTACCCGAAGGTCGCGCCCGATGTTCGCCCCCCAACCCTTCATGAACTGTCGGGATCATTTGGATAAGTAATGCCATTCATCAAGAATAGACATCTGTCTATGGGGCTCAGCACGAGCTGAGGCCCAGTGCTCTTGGACCCCGTCCATAAAGTGGGGTTGTCGAAGCCAGAAGTTCTCGAAGCGAAACCGCGGGGAAGGGCGCGGTCGTTCATCCCTAGAGGCTAGGAGGAGGGGGACGTGGTCCGAGACAATACGGGTGATGGCCTGGAGGGATGCCAAAGGGAACCGAAGTTCCCAGTCCGGGGAGATAAACACCCGGTCAAGCACGCTAAGGGTCGGGGAGACCTGTCGGTTGGTCCAGGTAAAACGCGCCCCGACCCTATCTAACTCGCGGAGGCCCAAGTCCGCCACCCAGTCATTAAAACGACGCATCTCAGCTAAGTCCACCCGGGCGTTACTCTTCTCCTCCGCGGATCGGAGGAGGTTGAAGTCGCCTCCAACCACAACCGGGAGGGTCGCAGAGGAGATCTTGGCATGGAGCTCTGCCAGGAAGGCGGCGGAACGGCTATGGTCAGCCGGACCATAAACTATAATGATCTCCCATTTAAAGTTTACGTCACGTTCCCAGACTTCCATACTAACAAAGTGGGATCCACGGTCCATGGAGCCCACCTCAAAGGTGGCATCCTTCACACCTAAAAGGATGCCACCGGAGTGACCGGTCACTCCACTAGACGGTAGCCAGTGCCAGGCGAAGAGATGTCTACTAAGGCGCTCGAGCTCCACTAGGGAGAATTCAGTGCGCATGGTTTCTTGAATCGCCACCACATCAATTGCTTCCTCACGCATGTACTCTATGAGCTGCCTGCGGCGGCCATCGTGACCGAAACCCCGCAGGTTCCAAAAAAGAGCACGCATGATTACTCGCCTAATGGGTCCTCCCTGGACCCCACAGTGGAAGCAGCGCTAAGGGCGC